TAATGCACACTAACTGCCTGAGAAAGCACAGAGGCATTATTTGAATAATATTCTTGTGATAAATTACTAATGTAATGCAATGGGGTTGATTTCTTCGCTAAATGATCATTGAAGTTGGGCAGCTGCACAGAAGGACTGGACTCATATACCTTTAAATGTCACAAAAGAGAGGACATTCACAGGAGCCGGTTTCCTCATCTTTCCATCAAACGTTCTCCTATATGACCTTTAGATAGAGGAGCCCTATCCTTTTCCCCATTTGGTCCCACTTATTTTAATTGTGTACTTGGATATTACTAATTTACTTCAAAAATTATTATATTTGCTTGTTTAAATATCCCTACCTGTTATGTACGTGGACCGCCTCCAGGGGTCCGCGGACAGGCCAGAGCTTGGATCCGAAAACAAAGGAAACTTCGGATCCTGGATTCCCTAGCCCCAACCAATAGACACCTTGGCGGGACATTTAAACCCTCCGATGGGAGTGGGGGGGTGGCTGGTGGATATGTATATAGTTGGCCCTGTTGGCCATTAGGGTTAGTCTTTGTCTATGTGTAGCTAAATAAACGTGTGCTACAGCATGTCGTTGTCCGAGTCCTCCATGCGGTGAACTCAGTACTTTTCACTACCCTTTTCTCCCATGGGGGGCTCAAAGTGGTTTACAAAATACAAAACCAATAAGGCAATACTCCAAATCCTGGGTATTCCGAGATCCTAAGACAAACAAAACTAAGTACTTCTTCCCACAGCATATAATTAAACTGTGGAACTTGCTGCCACAGGATGTGGCGATGGCCGCTAACTTTGGAGTGGATGAATTAATGGAGGACGGTGCTATAAATGGCTAGTAGTCCCCATGGCTACTAGTTATGAGGGACATCTGCTCCCTCCAGTACCAGAGGCAGTATGCCTCTTTATATCAGTTTCTGGGGAGCGTAGGTAGGAGGAGGATGTTGCAGTCACCCTGTTTATGGGCTTCCTAAAGGTGGCTGGTCAGCTGCTGTGAACAGAATGCTGGACTTGATGGACCCTTGGTCTGATCCAGCAGAGCTCTTCTTATATTAACTGGTCCAGCTCACTTCAGGGCTGCAAGCTGCAAACCAGAGCTCCTGCCCTTCAGCTCTGGCCACATCCAGGCTCAATACTTGTAACAAAAGAGCTCAGCCCAGATCTTCTTCAGTTGGCAAAAAGATGTTCCCAGGCTCACTCCCCTGCTATGAACCATTTTAAATCACTTTTATGTGAAGTGTGAACACAGTCATCCTGGCAATCTTGGCTTGCTCTTCAACACCACCTAAGCTGAGTCAGTGTGAGCTAGCTCACAGATTTTTAGCCTTCAGCTCACACATTTTTGCCTTAGCTCAGGAAGGAGGGCTCCAGAGCAAACTAATTTATGCAGCAGCCAAATCGCTCGCTCACGCCTTTAATGCCAGGAGCTTACGAAGTAGAATTTTTGCTCACAAGACTCCACAGCTTAGAGGGAACATTGCTAATGACGCCAGCACTTGTCCATGCAAGCTGGGATTTGAGTAACCACCAGCAAGCTGAATTCTGGTTTTCTCATACTAGCTATAATCGACACAAACCACGGCTTTGCATGATATCTGAACTAAGACTTTGTCTGCAAAGAAAGGAGATGGCATGTGAGCATAAAGCTCGTTCCTGATCAGAAATATTACTGGTGGACTGAGTTAGAAATACTGAGACTCTTGAATTACCATTAACCGTTCATCTTCCTTTTTACTTTTGCAGTGCTTGGAGAACTTCCCTGTTGTAATATCTTTATATCTCGTTAGCCTGTTCTTAAAATACTTATTGGAAGTACCACTTAGATAAGAGTTAGGATTATATGATTTATTGATTTATTTAAATGAAAACATTTATATCCGGTATTCTCTCCTTAGTCTCAAGGAAAGTAACAATCTAGCAACATTATAGCAATATTTAAAAAGATGTCAGCAAGGATACTGGAACACTCAGGGGAAAATGAGAAGCTAGGCAAGATCCATGGAGGAAGTGGAAGGTACATGATGGAAAGGCGATTTGGAGCAGAAAAGTGGCCAGCTGGTGGAGGACTAAGCATCCCATCCTCCTCCTCCTGCTGTTGCTCTAAAAACCACAGCTTCCCAGGCTCCAGTTGCATAACTTTTGGGGCTTTCTTGTATACGTTTGCGTTTAAAGGTTGGTTTCAAATTGTTCAGGTTGATGCAATAAGTTAACCGTGATGTCACGACGTTGTATCTCATTTTGCAGCATAAATGTCAGCCTATTTTTTATTTCTTCACTCTTTATAGGGTTGCCAGTCTCCAGGTGGGGCCTGCAGATCTCCCAGAATTACAGCTGATTTTCAGATAACAGACATCAGTTGCCCTGGAGAAAATGGCTGCTTTGGCGGGTGGACTCTGTGACACAGTACCCTGCTGAGCAGGATATCCCCTAATAATATCCCCCCCTCCAAATCTCCAGGAATTTCACAGCCTTGCCAGTCCTACTTGGGAAAAACAACAGCAATAGCCAGTTATGCACGAAAACGGTGTTTTAAAATGTTTTTAAATGGCTTCTATTTTGAGATCTAGTATCTGCCATGCTGTGGATCATCTGTTCAGTAAATCAAAGGCGATCTGTCGTCTTATTGCAGAGTCTCAAATCCCCTTGTGTGTCTATAAAATCAGCCAATATATCTAACTACTAAGTTTCTGAGAATCATTTTCTGGTATCCAGAATCTGTTTATTTCTTTTCTCCTATCAAAGGATGTTGAAGATATCTGACAAAGCACGAGTTTCCATCAGTTCCCAAAGGTTCAGAGAAGTTAAACAAATGTTGCCATCTTAGTTGTTTATACCTCCCACTCTGCTATTACCATTCAGCTGCATAGAACATAATAGGTTTTACCAGAATAGATTTTACTGTCTGCTATGGCTACCAAGTGATCACCTCCAGCATCCACTAATCCCTCAAGCCCACCAGCTGCACAATGTATAACAATGACCCTATAGAGAATTTGAGTTTGATTAGGGGAAAAGTTCATGAGTGCAGCAAATCACAGCTGAACATGAGAATTTTCCGATTCCTGTTCAGTATTTTCCTTCTGAAGAGGTTCCAGGCCCTCAGTGGATCACATGAAGACATCGGTATCATAATTGGTGGAATGTAATTATACAGTGATTGTGCTCAGCTATGTTAGATGGTTATTGCCCACAACTAAGGGTGGGATTTGTTTTCTTCAGTCCAGGAAGCATTTGGCAGAAGGAGTAAGAAAAGTTCAAAGAACGCAGTTGCACATTGTAGTTATTTCTGAATTTATAGTAGTATAACAGGATAGAGATCAGTAACTTGTGAGACACACTGGATCACACCTCCCCCCCCCAACTGCACTCCCCCCCACATGCGCGAGGAGTGGTTTTAGCTCCAGCAGGGCTGGGGAGGGGATATTTAGAGATCTGCCCCGTCCCCGCAAAAACTTCCCCGCCTCCTCTCGGCTCCCTCTGAATTCCTGAGGGCGAAATATGCTCCTCGCGCCTCGTCTCCCAGCTACCTTGTCGCTCGGAGACGAGGCGTGAGGAGTGGTTTTGGCTCCAGTGGGGCCGGGGAGGGGATATTTAAAGAGATCTGCCCGGTGGCGCCGGCGCCCCCCCAAACTTCCCCGCCTCCTCTCGACTCCTCCGGCTGCCCCTGAGTTCCTGAGGGCGAAATATGCTCCTCGCGCCTCGTCTCCCAGCTACCTTGTCGCTCGGAGACGAGGCGTGAGGAGTGGTTTTGGCTCCAGTGGGGCCGGGGAGGGGATATTTAAAGAGATCTGCCCGGTGGCGCCGGCGCCCCCCCAAACTTCCCCGCCTCCTCTCGACTCCTCCGGCTGCCCCTGAGTTCCTGAGGGCGAAATATGCTCCTCGCGCCTCGTCTCCCAGCTACCTTGTCGCTCGGAGACGAGGCGTGAGGAGTGGTTTTGGCTCCAGTGGGGCCGGGGAGGGGATATTTAAAGAGATCTGCCCGGTGGCGCCTGCGTGGCTGCGGCCCCTACTGGGAAAACTTCCCCGCCTCCTCTCGGCTCCGCCGGCTGCCCCTGCTCCCAGGGTCTGTTATTCCACTGCCTGGTCTCTCATTCCATCCCCAGAGTAGTATATTTGGGCATTGAGACCCTAATGGAAAATCCATTCCGCATTTTTTATTGCAACTCTCCTTGTACTGTAATGTATTTCAATGGGGCCAATGCAAGTCAATTGGCATT